AGATGTGGTATATATATACCATGGAATACTACTCAGCCATAAAGAAAGACAAAATCGTCCCATTTGCAACAACATGGGTGGACCTGGAGGGTATTATGCTAAGTGAAATAAACCAGAAAGAAAAAGACAAACAGTGTGTGATTTCACTCATAGGTGGAAGATAAACCAACACACGGACAGATAGAACTGTTTGGTGGTTACCAGGGGCTAGGGGGGTGGGGAGTGGGCACAAGGGGTGGAGGGATGCACTTATATGGTGATTGACAAACAATGATGTACAACAAAAATTTCACAATAAAAAAATTAAATGCTAAAAAATAAATAAATAAAGCCAAGGTTATATCTGAAAAAAAAATCCACTTTGACGATCTCTGCCTCTTAAGTGGAATGTTTAGTTCAACAAAGTTTAATATAATTATTGATATGGTTGAATTTTGGTCTACCATTTTATTATTTGATTTCTACTTTTCCCATCTGTTTTGTTTTCTTTGTTCCTACTTTCCTGCTTTTTGGGTTATTTGAATACTTTTTAGAATTTCATTTTAATTTTCCTGTTGACTTTTTAGCTGTATTTCTTGGCATTACTTTTTACTAGTTGCCCTAGTGATCATAATATAGATCTTTAACTTTTTACAGTCTAATTAGTTACTATTGTACCACATCAGGTAAAATACAGAAATCTGGCAACCATACAGGTTCATATCCCTCTTCCCCGATCCTTTATGTTACAGTTATATGTATTGCATCTACAAACTGTAAAACCTTTATGAGGTTGCAAACCTTTATGAGAATGTTGTAATTTATGCTTTAAACAATTATATGGTTTATAAAGAAATTAAGAGGAAAAAAGCAAAAAAGACAAAAAGTAGTTTTTTGTGTTAACAGAGATATTTACCATTGCTGATGTTCATTACCCTTTTCTGAAGATCCAGGTTTCTCTCTAGTTTCATTTCCCTTCAGACAGAACTCTCTTTATCATTTCTTATAGTGCGGGTCTGCTGGTAGTGAATTGTCTTAGTTTTCTTTTATCCAAAAATGTCTTTATTTCACCTTCATTCTCAAAGGGTGTTTTTGATGGATATATAATTCTGGTTTGATAGTTACTTTCTTTCAGAACTTGAAGGATATTCCACTCTCTTCTGTCCTCCGTGATTTCTAATTAGAAGTTGAATGTTAATCAGATTGACATTACCATATGTGATGTGTCATTTTCTCTTGCTGCTTTTAAGATTTGCTTTTTATCTTTGGTTTTCAACAATTTGGTTATAATGTGCCTCAGTGTGAGCTTTTCTGCAATTATTCTGGTTGGTGTTCATTGAGCATTTTATAACTGTAAATTTCTCTTTCATCACATTTTGGAGTTGTTCAGCCATGATTTCTTTAACAGTTTTTCTACTACACTCACCTTCTACCCTCCTGCTTGGCTTCCATGTACACATCTGTTTAATTGTTTGCTATAATCTAATAGGTTCCTGAGGTTCTGTTCATTAAAAATTTTTTTCTCACATTGTGTAATTTCTATTGATCCATCTTCGAGTTCACTTACTCTTTCTTTTGTCATCTCCTTTTAGCTATTAAGTATATCCAATAAATATTTTATTTCAAATATTGTATTTTTCTCTTTCAGAATTTTCATTTGTTTCTCTTTTTATTGTTTCTGTTTCTCTCCTGCGATTTCCTATCTTTTTATTCATTGTGGGAAGAATATATGCTTTAAAATTCTGGTAGCCAGTTCCAACATCTGATTCATCCTAGGGTTGGACTCAATTGATTTTCTTTTATTTTGAGAGGCATTAGTTCTAGTTTATTACAGGCAGTGCATTCCCCAAACCAGGTGTATATATTATTGCCTGCTAAAGCAAAGCAAAACAAAACAAACAACAACAAAAAAACCCAGGACTCATCAGAGAATAGTAACAGAATCCAGAAGCACCACCACCTGACGTGTTTAACGCCGGGATACAATCTAAAATTCCTCGACATACTAAAAACCAAGAAAACTTGTTTTTTTAGGGGGAGGGGAGTGGAAAGTCTGGTCCCTGTTCAGATATTTTGTCTTTAGCTGAACTGCTTTGAGTGTTCTGTGCATGTGTTGTTCAGGGGTCAGTAAGAGATGTGACCAGAATTTGGGGATCCCCTCTCTGTTTCTTTTCTTTCTGGGAGCTGCCTATATCTTCAGCAGCCCAATATTCCCCACCTTCAGTTTTATGGTTCTCCTAGCCAAAAATACTGTTCTTTTCCCACCATTTCACATGCACTATGTGGACTGCCCTTAGCCCCAGGCTGAAAGGGAGCTAACTTTGTATGACTTCCGTCCTCCTTGTGTGCACTTGCTACAAGAGTCTGTCTGCTCCTGCTCATTCTCAGGTGCCTTCACATCTTATGAGCAGATTTTATAGTTGTTTTCTGTGTGATAGTCATTTAGTATAGTCTTACTCTATCATTACCAAAAGGAAAATCGGTGTAGTTTCTGTCTAAAAAGATGATTTATGTTATTTAATATGTTTCCTTTCAGAACTAAGACTAAAAACATGCTAATGAGCTGGCAGATTTAATAAGAAAGCCCATCTATTCCCAAATCAAACCTGATGCAATTTTAGGATAGTCTTTTGTTGATTGTTATTTGTTTATCTCTCAGACTTTATGTCACTCTCCCATCATGAAATTACACTTTGTAATTTTCCAAGGCACCAGAGAAAAAAATAGTGCAATTGGGAAAGCATTAAAAAAGGAAACAGTGGTACTTTGGAATTCTTGGAGTGATCTTTCTGATGCATTTAAGTAAATTGCCAAGCAAAAGATTTATTTTCTCAGACCTCTGGACTTCTTATATAAATAGTAAAATAATTTAAATTGATTTTATTAACTGTCAATGATGTAGTTTTTTCTGGGTCTCACCTATAAAGAAAACTGTTTCAGAAACAATTACAGAATTGTATTTCTATCTGAATGGTATATCAGAGTTTAGATGTCGCAATGAGAATATTGATTATTGAAGTAACAATGCATGTTCAATCTGATAGCTTTATGTCTTTTGTTTAGCAGCATTAATTTGAATGGGGTAAGATAACTTTTCTTTCTTTAAAGCAATGTTATATTAAAAATTCACTTGAATGGTAGATGCATTTAAACGAAAGGTCTGAAGGCTTTTTATTTAGAAAACTGGGTTGGCTTGGGGAAAAAAAAGGAGGAGGATTGGCAATAGATGTTAGCCCAGAGCTGGTCTTCCTCAGCAAAAAGAGGAGGATTAGCATGGATGTTAGCTCAGGGCTGATCTTACTCACACAAAAAAAAAGAAACCTGGGTTGGCAAGTTTTATATCAAAATGCTGTTTTAATAGTAGTGTAGGGGCCGGCCCGGTGGTGCAAGCGGTTAAGTGCGCACGCTCCACTGCGGTGGCCTAGAGTTCGCTGGTTCGGATCCCGGGTGCGCACTGACGCACTGCTTGGCAAGCTGTGCTGTGGCGGCGTCTCATATAAAGTGGAGGAAGATGGGCACGGATGTTAGCCCAGGGCCAGTCTTCCTCAGCAAAAAAAAAGAGGAGGATTGGCAGATGTTAGCACAGGGCTGATCTCCTCACAAAAAAACAAACAAACAAAAAATAGTAGTATAAATTGAAATTTAAATCTGAAGCAAAAATTTCCAAAGAGTTTCTCCTTTGATTTATTCCAAGGAGTCCCCCGCTAATTGCACAGAAATGAGGTGAGCATAAGCATACCCAAAGAAGGGTCTTCTTTCTCAAAATCTGTGGATTTTGGGGGCTAATGTGGCCTCCTTGTGGACAGATATCTGTTTTAGGATAACAGAGCAATCCCTGAAGTAAAACAGGATACAGTTGGACAAATAAAATTCACTGAAATATCAACCTTTCAGGGAAAATTGTCTTTAGAAAATGTTTTCTCTAGTGTGCACATTGTTAGTATTGTACATGGAATGTATGACAGTACACAAATTTAGTTATCAATTGAATCAATTATTCGTTGATTCATTTGTTCCTTCAGTAACTACTTGAATCACTCCCATGTGCCAAGGTAGCAGGTACTGTGCCAAGTGGAAAAAAATGTGAAATGTTAGTCCTTTCCCTTCAAGAAATCAGGATCAAGTAGAAAGCAAGATGAGAAGGGAAGGAAGCTGACATACTGAGCCTGACCCTATGCTAAGCATTCCTGTGTGCTTAATTTCCGTTAACCATCTGTAATCCCCCTACAGACCTGTGAGGAAGCTGTTGTATTGAAGAGGCTGTGTGGAGTCATGGACAAAAATCATAGCCTAGTTTCAAATCTTGGGTCTTGCCCTCTCTGTGCCTCAGTTTCCCTTTGTAAAACAGAAATGATGATGGCACCCACCTCACAGGTCTGTTGTGTAGATTGATGTGAGAGTATAGGGGCTGTGTTCAGACCACTGCCTGCACATAGTAGGTCATCATGTAGCAATGACGAGATTATCATCCTCGTTTGTTTGATGAGAAAATCTCTTCCCAGGCAATAGTGAGTAAGTAGCAGGAGCAAAGATTCTAATCCAGGTCTACCTAACAAAGTCTGGAAATTCTCACAAAAACAATTCTATCCCCCTCTCCAAAATAAAATAATTCTTTTCATGTGTTAGGTAGGAGTGGAAAATAAATTCACATTTCCAGATGGAAACCAGAACCCCAAAGGATAGAAGATAAGCCTCAGTCATGACACCTTAGGTAGCTCAGCTCTCTTTACGTTCTTTTTTTATTAATATTATTATAGTAAATCAACAGGAGGCTTGCTGCCTTTGGTGTTAAAGATACTGAGGAATATCAAGTTGTGTGAGGCACCAGTTTCCTCGACTTTCTGTGAAGGAATGCATGCTCTTTATATTAACTTATTAATTGATAAAGCTCATCAGTTTTCGTCTTTTGGGCAAAAATACTGTATTTCCAGGGCTTACATTGATTTGGGGCTTTTTGCTTTTCTGGAATGGGAGGGGGATTGGAGAATATAAATGCCTATAAATGCCGTTGTGTTCACCAGTCCGCGTGCAGGGGAGATAAAGCCCCTCCTCCGCGCACTCAGAAGGGGGAGACCATTTCCTGCTCCAAATGTGGGCGCCGGAATCGCCGAGAAGCTTGCTTCTGTGACTGGTGTGGAGCCACGGTGGGTATTTTAAAACTGAGCTTCTCTGTGCTGAGGGCTCACCAGCACCCTGTAGAGAGCTGGGGGCCTCCTCTTCTGTGGCCTTGCAGACATCCCTTCTGAGATTGGGGTGGTGGCACCTATTTACCTAAGAATCTGGAGACACAGATAATTAATTCTCTTAAATTTTGAGAAAGGTCTCTCATTGCTGTTTTAATTTTCATCTCTTTGAGGTTAAACTTTTTTATTCATTTATTGACTATTGGCATTTCTTATTTTATGACTTGTCTGTTTACCTACCTTTTTAATAAAATACTCAAAAATATTTGTGTATTTATTTAATAAATGTTGCATGTGAATAATACAAAGGGTTTATAGTGAAGGCATAGTCTCCCTTCTCATCCTGGTCCCACGGCTCCTCTCCCCAGAAGCAGTCACTGTTCCCCAGTTTCTGAGGTGTTCTTTCAGCCATTCTGTGCACATCAAGTAAACTAGTAGTTGAATATGAACACTGATCCAATTCTTTTCACCTGGCAATGGATCTTGTTAGTAACCTCTTCATTCTTCCCAGTGCTATCATAATATTCCCCTGTCTGTAGGTACCAGGATATATTTAGGCCGTCCCCTATTGCTGGACTTCTAGGTTGTTTCCAGTTACTTCCTCTAAAACCACAGTCCTGCGGGGAATGGTCTTGAGTATACTTCTTTGTGTACTTGTCCATCTATAGGGTACATTCTAGAAGGTGAAATTGTTGGGTCAGAGGGAATGGGCATATGTTATTTTGATGGCTGGAGATTGTATGGTATGGGAGTAATTTATATGGGAAAATTGTGACTCTTAATATTCATGAAAATATAATAATATTTTCTGTCCCCTAGCCTGGCATTCCTGCTCGCTTCTCTGTTTGCCCTAAATGTGGGGCCAGCAATCACCCATCTGCCCGATTCTGTGGCTCCTGTGGTGTTTGTGTCAAGTCCTTGGCAAGACTTAGTGTGGATGACAGGCTAGCTCCAGCTGCTGGAGAACCTGGCCCTTTTGCTGAGGTGAGGCCTCCTCTGCAGTGAGAACTGCCTGGAAGACACTGTGACTCTGGCCTTATGTTCTCTACCGTGTAACTCAACCCAGGGAAGAGAGCCTAAACATTTAGACCTTTCACACGGACTTTCAACTCGGTGTGTAAATAGATGAAATCCATTTAGGTTTTAAACACTCAAGTGATTTCTTCCAAAATCAAAGATGTATGCATTTATCTAGAGTGGAATGAGGTCTAATTGCATTTGCAAGGTGATAGATATAATATCATTAGGGAAAGGTGGATTTAAAATACCTGGGATAGAAAGTACTTCTCTCGAATTTGTTATGTAGCACACCAAGAACTTTTCCCCCAACTCTTATATATTTTAGAAATACATCAGGTATTTAAAATTTCTTTTGCCATTTATAACAACTGGACAGTTTGAGGGAAATCTCACTAGGTTGTTGTCAGAAGGACTTAATCTCTAACCAGCTCTGTGTTAGCCTTTTATGAATTTCTCTGAGCTACATACAGACTTTGCAGGTTTCTTCTTATCTCTTCACTAGAAGAATTTGAAGATTGATGATTATTAGAGAAAATGCACATGCACCCAGCAACTATGCATTCATTTTTAGGTGGTTCATGGCCTTCTTATCCCAGGTTGAAAGACATAGATCCTGGGACTGCCAGCAGTCCACATGGCACCTGTGTGCAAATGAGACAGAAGTGTTCTTTCCTCAGGATACTTGACTGCCATCTGTTGGAAACTGATTGTAATGCACTGATTTTGTTAGAAAGATCTTTTCTTCCATCTACCAGAAAAATTGTCCTAATAAATATGCAAATATACGATGTCCACCATGTGAATGGTACCCCTTTAGATGCAGTGGTGTTGTGCAGTGCACAACCTACGTAACCTTACATGGTGATCCTCTCAGGTCCCCCGGTCCAGGTGCAGGAGAGTGTCTCACAGAAAATGTTGGTGCCTAGTAGTTGGGTGTGGCTGAGTAGTAAAGTCTATGCTTCATTGGATTGTAGAACTGAGAGTATAGATATCATCCAGGCCTTAGGCGAGAGAGAGAACATCAGCTGATTTGCTGAATTTGAGACAGTAAATGGCTAATGGGTTGGGGCTGGCTTCATAGATCAGGCTGAAAGTTGCTGGGAAAGACAGAAGCAAGGAAGATGAGGCAAGGGCTGAAAACTCATTTTTAGTTCAAAGTACAGTTTTGGAGAGATACTTTTACTTCTGATTAGAATTGTTTTCTGTGAGTAACATGAAGAATTAATTAAATTATATTCTCATATTTTATGTTTCTGCCTCATTCATAGCCCCAATCTGCCTGGCAGTCGCTAAGTGTTTCTTGCCCCAAACCTGATGCTGGGACTAAGAAGGCTGTAGGAACACAGACCACTGGCCTGTTCTACCCATCTGGCAAACTGCTAGCCAAAAGGGAACTGGAAGTGGCTTCTCAGAAGCAGACGCAGGAGAAGATGAGTGACCACAAACCTCTCCTTACAGCTGTCAGCCCAGGACGAGGTAAGGAAAGAGATATGCTGTCTTGTCAGGAGGGAACTCGTTCTCTGAAAGAAAATCTCATTTTTTCTTCCTTTAGATTTAATGTGTGTATAAGAAGTCAGTTCCTTTATTTTTCTTTTTTCAGGTAATTTTCCTTTGTATGGATAATAGCTCTTCCTTAAACTTTTAGTACTCTGATGCTTAGACTCATAGCCCCCTTGTCTAGTTTGTAAATCAAATAGCACGTATGGATTTCTATTATTATGGCAGAAAAGTTGTTAGTCTGTGTTGTTATTGCTATCTGCTATTACCTCTTTTTTTATTGTAGTAAAATTAACGTAACAAAATTCACCATTTTAAAGTGTATGATTCAGTGACATTTAGTACATTAGGAATATTATACAGCCGTCACCATTCTCTATGTCCAGAACGTTTTCATCACCCCAAAGGTAAACCCTTTTGTCTTTCAGCAGACAATCCCCACACCTCCTCTCCCAAGTGCTTGGCAACCACGAGTCTACCTTCTGTCTTTATGGATTTGCCTCTTCTGGACATTTCATGTAAATGGAAGCATATAAGAAATGGTCTTTTGTGACTGGCTCCTTTCCCTTAGTACAATGTTCTTGAAATTCAGCCATGTTTTAGTGCTTCATTCTTTTTTTATAGCTGAATAATACTCTATTGTAAAGATATATGACATTTTGTTGATCTGTTCATCAGTTGATGGACATTTGAGTTTTGTCCTCCTTTTGGCTGTTGTGAATAATGCTGCGGTGAATGTTCATGTGTAAGTTTTTCTGTAAACGTGTTTTTATTTTTCTTGGGTATATACATAGGAGTGCAATTGCTGACTCAAATGGTAACATTATGTTTAACTTTTTGAGGAACTTCCAGACTGTTTTTCAAAATGGCTGCACTATTTTACATTCTGACCAGCAGCGTATGAGGGTTCTGCTGTCTTTACATCTTTGCCAGCACTTGGTATTATCTTTTTCATTATAGTCATCCTGGTAGGTGTGAATCGGTATTCCATTATGGTTTTAATTAGCATTTCTCTGATGACTAATGATGTTGAACATCTTTTCATGTGCTTGTTGGCCATTTGTATATTTTATCTGGAGAAATGTCTATTCAGATCCTTTGTCCATTTTTTAATTTGCTTGTTTGTCTTTTTGTTATTGAGATGTAAGAGCTCTTTATATATTCTGAATACTGGACTGTTACCAGATGTATAATTTGCAAATATTTTCTACCATTCTGTAGGTTGTCTTTGAACTTTTAATAGTGTCCTATGAAGCACAAAAGTTTTAAATTTTGATTATGTCAGAATTGTCTGTTTTTTTTCTTTTATTGCTTGTGTTTTTGGTGTCATATCTAAGAATCCATTGCCAAATCCAGGTCAAAAATATTTACCCCTATCTTTTCTTCTAAGATTTTTATAGTTTTAGCTCTTACATTTAGGTCTCGGGTCCATTTTGAGTTAGTTTTTGTATATGGTGTGCAACTTCATTATTTTGCATGCAGCTGTCCAGTTGTCCCAGTACCATTTGTTGAAGAGGTGATTCTTTCCCTGTTGAATGGTCTTGGCACACTTGTCAAAAAGAAGTTGGCTATAGATAAATAGGTTTATTTCTGGACTTTCAATTCTATTTTATTGATCTATATGTCTATCTTTATGCCAGAACCACACTGTTTTGATTACTGTTGCTTTGTAGTAGGTTTTGAAATTGAGAAGTGTGAATCCCCCAACTTTGTTCCTCTTTTTCAAGATTTTGGCTATTCTGGGTCTTTGAGTTTCCATATGAATTTTAGGATCAGCTTGCCAGTTTCTACAAAGAGGCCAGCTGGGATTCTGGCCACACAATCCCTATTGTGTTGACTCTATAGATCAGTTTGGGGAGTATTGCCATCTTAACAGTGTTAAGCCTTCCAATCTATGAACATGGGATGTATTTCCAATTATTTAGATCTTCTTTAATTTTCTTCAATAGAGTTTTGTGGGTTTAGGAGTGTAAGTTTTATACCTCTTTTGTTAACTTTATTCCTAAGTATTTTATTGTTTTTGATGTTATTGTGAATGGAATCATTTTCCCAATTTTATTTTTGGATTGTTTGTTGCAAGTGTATTTTTGTATATTATCTTGGATTTTACAACTTTACTAAACTTTTTTATTAGTTCTAATAGTTCGTTAGTAGATTCCCTAGAATTTTCTATATACAAATCATGTCATCTGTGAATGTAGTTTTACTTCTTGCTTTCCAGCCTGGATGACTTTTATTTCATTTTCTTACCTGATTTCCCTGGTTAGAACCTCCAGTACAATGTTAAATAGAGGTGGTAAGAACAGGAATCCTTGTCTTCTTCCTGATTTTAGGGGAAAGCATCCAGTCTTGAACCATTAAGTATGATGTTAACTGTGGGTTTTTCATAGATGCCCTTTCGCAAATGGAGGAAGTCCCCTCCTATTCCTAATTTTTGAGTGTTTTTTTCCTTTGTCATGAAAGGATGTTGGCTTTTGTCAAATGCTTTCTCTGCATCTATTTAGATGATCATGTGATTTTTGCTTTTTATTCCATTGATGGTGTTTTACGTTAATTGATTTTCAGGTGTTAAACTAACCTTTCAGTCCTTGGGATAAACCCCACTTGGGCGTGGCATATAGTTCTTCTTATAGGTTTTGGGGTTCAGTTTGCTAGTATATTGTTGAAGATTTTTATGTCTATATTCATAAGAGGTATAGGTCTTCAGTTTTCTTTGTGATGTCTTTGAGTATTAGGATAATACTGGTTTATAGTCTTCTCTCCTCTTCTATTTTTTTTTGAAGTTATTATGAAGAATTGATATTAACTCTTCCTTAAATGTTTGGTGGAATTCACTGTGAAGCCACCTGGGCCTGAATTTTGTCTAATGGGTAATTTTGATTACTAATTCAATCTCTTTACTTCTTATAGATCTGTTTAGATTTTCTATTTCTTGTTGAGTCAGTTTTCTATGTATTTGTCCATTTCGTCTGAGTTACCTAATTTATTAGTATACAGTTGTTCGTAGTATTCCTTTATAATCAATTTTATTTCAGTAAGGTTGGTGGTCATGTCCCTATTTCATTTCTGATTCTAATAATTGGAGTCATTTCTCTTTTTCTTGGTCAGTCTAGGTAAAGATTTGTCAATTTTGTTGATCTTTTCCAAGAACCAACTTTTGGTGTTGTTGATTTTCTCTATTGTTTTTTTATTCTGTATTTTGTTAATTTCCACTCTAATCTTCATTATTTCCTTCTTTCTTCTTGCTTTAGATTGCGTTTGATCTTTTTCTAGTTTCTCCAGGTCAAAGGTGCAGGTCTTGATTTGAGATCTTTTTTCTTTTTTAATAGAGGCATTTACAACTGTAAATTTCCCTATGAGCGTTGCTTTCACTGCATCCCATAAGTTTTAGTATGTCATGTCTTCACTTTCTTTCAACAAAGTATTTTTAAATTTTTCTTGTGATTTCTTCTTTGACCCGTTGGTTGTTTAACAGTGTGTTATCTAATTTCCAAATATTTGTGAATTCTCCAAATTTCTGTCCATTATTGATTTCTAATTTCATTCTCCTGTGATTAGAAACATACTTTGTATGATTTCAGTGCTTTTAAATTTATTGAGGCTTGATATGGCTTGACATATGGTCTATCCTGGAGAGTGTCCCGTGTACACTTGAGAGGAATATATATTCTGCTGTTTTGGGGTGAAGTTTCTATAGATGTCCATTAAGTCTAGCTCGTTTAGAGTGCTGGTCAAGTGTTCTATTTCTTGTTCATCTTCTGCCTATTCATTTAGAAAATGGAGTATTAAAGTGTCCAGCCATTATCATTGAATTGTCTATTTCTCCCATCATTTCTTTCAATTTTTGCTTCATGTATTTTGGTGATCTCTTGTTCAGTGCATGCATATAGGTTTATAATTGTTCCACCTTCCTGATGACTCTTTTATCACTATCAAATGTCCCTTTTTTTTTGATTTGGTAGCATTTTATTTGGTCTTAAAATCTATTTTGTCTGGTATTAGTATAGCCACTCCAGCTTTCTTATGGATGCTGTTTGCATGATGTATCTTTTTCCATCTTTTTACTTTCAATCTGTCTGTATCTTTGAATACAAAGTATATCTTCTGTAGATAGTATATAGTTGGATCTTATTTTTTATCTGGTCTGACAATCTCTGTTTTTTGACTGGGTTGTTTAATCCATTCACATTTAATGTTACTATTGATAAAGTTGGATTTATGTCTTCCATTTTACTTTTTTGTTTTCTCAATGTTTCTAAGTGTCTTTTTGTTCCTCTGTTTCTCCTTTACTGCTTTCTTTTGTGTTGCATATTTTCTAATGTAACATTTTAATTTCTTTAATGATTTTTTCACTATATATTTTGAGTTATTGCCTTAGTGGTTACTCTAGGGCTTATCTTATACATCTTATCAGAATATGCTTCAGATTTATAGTAACTTAATTCCAATGAGATATAGAAATGCTATTCCTATATAGCTCTATTCCCTCTTCTTGGTTTTATAGGTATGTATAACAATGATACCTATCTATATATATTTCATCTATATATGTTACAAACCCCAAAAAAACACTGTTATATTTATTATTGTATATAACCTTATGTATTTTAAAAATGCTAAAAGAAGAAAGAATATTATATATTTATGGTTTTTGTTATCTTAGCCTTCTTTTTTCCCATTTCTAGTTCTCTTCATTTATTCCTGTGGATTCGAGTTACCATCTGAAGTCATTTCCTTAGCCTAGTAAAGCTTTGCTCCCACCCACCTCCTTTGTGCTGTCATTGGCCAGTATATTACTTTTCTATATGTTATAGGCCAAATATTACAATTATATACATATTGTTTTACACAATTTCTTTTTATGTTTGTGAAGAGAAGAAAGAAAAAGAAATATGCATTTATTTATTTATTTATTTATTTTTTTGTGAGGAGATCAGCCCTGTGCTAACATCTGCCAATCCTCCTCTTTTACTGCTGAG